CTTAAAGAAACATTTAATTTGATACCGTACCAGAAAATGTATTTGAAAAAAAGGAAATCAACAAAATGTTGCTTATAAAGAATTCTAGCAATTTATTTATGGAATACATTCGGATGCATCTTGAAATTATTCATTAGATCAAAAGGGTTATTTGATAAAGTTATCACCCTAATCAAAATTTTTTTCTAATTTTGATACTGAACCCATTTTTAATTCAATGATTTTTATTAATGTTTAGTAAAAAAAATATTAAGTTGTTATCAACAATCAGTGATTATTAATTACAATTTTTTAATTTATTTTTTTTTATTCTATTGAGTTATTATTAATAACATTTATTTAAATGTTATTTTAAATGAATAAATAATTATATTCAGCTTAACTTACAAAGTTTAAATATTCTACTGAACCTCCTGAATTTTTTTTATTAAAATCCTCGAATTTTTTTTCCCGCCGAGGTCCCTAAATTTTTTTAGGACATTATGCCGCTACAGATGCTGAATCGGAAATTATAAAGGTTGTTTATATATTATAAACAATAAGGTTGTTTTTATATTATTTTTTCTATAGGAAACAATAATTTTTTCCACTGATGGTCCTGACTTTCAGAAGGTTCAGCAGCAAAATTAGAGAAAAATTCTGACTCGGGTTGTAACAACAAAACTTTCTTTCTATGACAATAAAATTTATCAATGAATGCAAACTTTTTCATATGAAACCAGTTAGTAAATAAATTTATATGAGATATTTTAAAAATTTTGTATTATTTTGATAAAAAAGATTACATTGCAGTTTTAAATTACTTTTATTATTAAATCAAAATTCTATGTTTCAGCTTTAATTTTTCATTTGTAGAAATATCTTTCACTACAGAATGTTTTTGATTTTTGAAATAATTTTTTGTTCATTTTTGTATGATATTTGACTTTATTATATGATCTGACACGTCTCGAATCTTATTTATACGAAACCCGATGAAGCATCACATGGTGCCGTTAGCCAACATGAAAATAGAACGTGAAAAGTATGTATAGAATATAGTTCTATTCTTAATTTTAATGTTAAATAAAAAATGATTGAACTTTGAATAAAATGATTATAAAAATATTTAATTAAAAGCGTAAAAAGCTCAAGTACAAAAGAGAATAATGCCGATGCTTAAAGGCTGTAAAAGGTAATACAATATAATGTGCCAACTGGTTTACGTCGAAAGCATGTTTATTCAAACCCATCCCGGACCACATTTTCATACTAATGGCCTTTTTTAACTTTCTTACGCTATAACTAGAGTTACACTCAATTTTTCTTCATCACATATATACCTTTTAAAATCCTTATTGTTTCGAAAAAACTACTTAACAATGTGAAAAAATATGCATGACGAAACATTAACAAAATAGTTCATCAACAAATAAACCAGCTTAAAGGATTTGAATACATATCGAGTTATTTTTTATTCCTAATTTTGCTGTTGCAAGCTGAATAAATGATAAAACTTATCCTCTATTCTCTTGCATTTTTCAACGAAAAATGAAAAAATATTATCTGTTAATTTAAATAAATAAATAATTAGATCATTATAGTGACAAAAATTGACGCTAAAAATTTACTCAACTCAACAATAATACCTTTGGTCGTTTAATATTTATCCTCGCGCCACAAAGACAGCGAAAAATATAAGAGGGAAGCTTAAACTACATTATGCACATTAGTTCGTGCGTTCCAAGTTAAGGAAGGCTTGTATGTCACCTCTTTGATTATCTAGCAGGATAGAAGACTAGATTATGAAACAAAAAAAAAGCTTAAGCTCTCTCTCTCGACCTCGTCTGTTCGACATTTCACTTTGACTTGTTATTCAAATTTCGGGGAAGAATGTGATAATTAGGTCGCGCTCTTGGCACTAATTACAAGTGAAGAAAAGGCAGATGGTAAATTTACTAACTACTTAAATGCATACTGAGACAAGATATATGTCCAGCAATGTTCATACACCGGCAGTCGCGATAAATATCGAATAGAAAAAAATCCAGTGGATTGCGATGCGGAAGTACACATGTTAAGAGCAGCATGGAGTCTCGACTTGTCCATGAAGAAGAGTATTGCATGGGATATACGTGTACGCTTCGCGATGTTTCATTGCTCCTACTCGTTTCATGTCGAGTGTATGTGCTAGTATGTATGCAAAATTACAAGTCGTATTGTTTTATAGGTACAAGAGGTGTGAAGCTATTACAGAGTTTAAGCTTGCAAAAGGTTACGCCTACCAATCTGGCCAGCAGTAGAGAACCAAGTAGTCGCTTATCGTGTTGAGAGAGATATAGAATGCGAGGAGGGCGAGTTTAATTTCAGGAAATGCTTATACAACCACGTGAAGAACGGCCTCGTGTTTCGAATCAACCGAAAATGAATTCTAAAAAGTGAAAACTTATTCTCTCGGTGCTTGATGAAATAGTTCACCCACCAACCGCCAATTCAATTAAATGAAACGACGAATAAACCCAGACGAATCATAAAGAAATTACGAAAAGTAATAAAAAAAACTTATATACTGAATTTGTAACTCTAATGTGGATGGAATGTGCTGAAGAATGCGACTCTCAGTTTCTCACTCACTAACTTAAAAGAAAAACGCGTAGGAGGGACAGAAAAAAATTTACCAGCTATTCCTTCTTATCGACTTCTTATATGAGAAGCATTCAATTTAACGAGCCCGCTAGCATTTTAAGACCTAACAGGCGTTCTCTTTGATACTCGTGAGATTACGTAAATAATATTTTTGCATCACAAATTTTTACATTTTTCTCAATAATTAATATTTTTCTTTTACCTTATTTTGCCAACATTTTATAATTAAATACTTTACCCCGCGTGAATTAATTAAAATAATTATTTTTATGCCATCATTGGTGTTTATCAATCAACAACAGTTTTCATCTACTTTTTTCACCGAAAATAAATTTTATTTTTTCCCATTTATTCATTCATCAATTATATCTTGTTAATGTTTATTCAATTTTGATAAATTCTACTATAAATAAATTGATTATAATTAATCGATTTTTACGATGGATTGCTGTATAATTATTAATCAAATAATTTATAAAGGATATTTTCCTAGTAATTTTCATTGATAATTATGTTCTAAAATATTTAGAATTCATTTTTGCTATCATTAAGTTTACATAAATGGAATTACTGAGGTCTTATCACATAGACGGTATCCAGTACATGGTTAAACGTTGTATTATAAAATTCAATAGAGATAGACCATAATGTCTTTTGTATTACTTCCGTATGTGTTACTTAAATAACTGTCAGAGTATAAAAGTTTGATACTAATTTTATCTGCACAAAGCCATTTCTTCCTTTCATAAATTTACTTTTCGGCATTTAATTTTAGATGCATCAATTGTCTGATATAAATTAGAACATTTTAAATCATCTACATGTATTATAGTAATAGTTATATTTCAATTATTTAAAGAAACCTTGTTATATTATCAATTGTATTCAAGATAGATTTTTTCACCATTGGAATAATTGAAAACAGTTCAAAATAAACCATTAATTCAAATAAATTGTTAATCATTTTCAATAATAATTGATTGATAGTAACATCATAACGAAATCGACATTTATTTATACGAAAATATGAAAATGGACAACTTTTCCAGAAATAATCCAACATTAAGATGACCTAAATGTATGACGTTAGAAATACCTGTTTAAGTAGAAGAAAGCAATAAGAGAAAGACATAATAAGGTATGCTCCTCATAAAACAAATTAATACCAAAAGACAGTCAAGTTGACATTTGTCGTGGTGGTGCCTAGCGTGCTAGCAAAACCCAACCCTCTTGCTGATAGTTCATAATTGTGCCTAAGAGGTCTGCTGTAAAAAGATTTCAATGGAAAAAGATAACAACCTGTTTTCAAATAGTAAGTAAACCTTTCGTGATCTACATATATATTTTTTTTTTGTTAAACTTGATGACAATTTCTCTAAGAATTTCCGGAAATCGATCTATGTATGTATTTTCAATAGTGAATAAAAATAAGTGATGACAAATCTCATCTTAGTAAAGTAGTGAATGACATTTATCTAACATGCCTAAGATATTTATAAACCATTGAAAACTTGAAAATAGAAAACTTGACTTGACAAACTTCTTGTTTGTAATTTAATTATATTGTTATCATTTAGTAAATAAGATGTTTCTACTAAAGAATTCTAATGTTCTTCTCATTCTTGCGAGTATAAAAGACTGGAAATATAATGGGAATTGATTTCGATTCTGTGTTGAAATTTAAACATTGCATACGATTGATGAGGACAATGGAACAACTGGTTCGAAAGTTGGATAGAGTTTAGAGTCTGAGAATGGAAAAGAAACTCCGAAGATCGCAAAGGAAGCAAAGTTAGTGAAGAGAAACACGACTCAGGCACCCTAAGACTTCCGGATGTTTTCCACGTTGTTGACTACAACGATGATCCTCCACTTCGTCGTGTGGAAATGACAAAAGCTCCAGCATGGAGGAGAAGCTCTTTCCTCTCAATGAATATTCATTTCATCATACGGCTTGCGTTGCTACTACTTTTGCGACCTTATTTTTTTCTAAAAATATTCCCATCTGTCTTGCAAAATGTAAGACACTTTTGTCTGTATTTTAAAATATATATATATATATATATATATATATATATATATATATATCTACATCTCTATAAAGAGATTATTTTTTTGAATTAATAATGCGTTTGTTGTTCTAAAAGATGCATCAGACAAGTTGAAAACCAAACTTAGAAATAAATTAAAGAAAATAAGTGCATTGACTCACTAACATTTTTTAGAAAATTTCGAACTTGGAACATCAAAGTTTCTGCCTTGCCGACGTTAGTTACCGCTGGTAAACAGCTGGAGAAAATCTCTCGTTTTCAAATCTCGTACATATTGAGGCTCGATAAATTGTAAATCTAAACGTTTATCAAATTTCTACTTACCCGGATAGCTACAACCACGTTCATCACTTCCATCATCACAGTCTTGTTTGAAATCACAATGTTGAGACTCTAAAATGCACCGATGAACATCACAAGCAAATTCTCTGTCTCCACAACCTGTAAAATCATATTGTGTATTTATATTTAAAATCAACTGATATTTTTCTTAATCATTTTTCACACTTAAATTTAAGAAATTCCATTAAACTTAATATTGAATGATTTCATCAGCTGTCAAAGAAGAATGTACTGGTTCATCAGAGAAGTAAAGTTGTATAATGCACTGGTTAAAAAGAGTTATATCAATTTAATATTTATTGTTATTTTTGTTAGAATGAGTGGAGAAAAAAATTAAATTTTAAAAAGCAGTAATTATAAGTAATATCAAAGAACTAAATAGAAAAAAAAGAGTTTTAAAACATACTAGGATAACAATTTAATTCATCTCCATGATCATCACAATCAGGAACTCCATCACACACTTGGACTCGACAAATTTGCCTACTTCCATCACTACATCGTACTGTATCATCACCACGACAATTATTGGTTGTAGCACCACGACTTGGATGAGTCGATTCATATGGATTGAAAGTCACTGAACTTGGACAATCAAGTTCATCAGATTGATCAGGACACTGAGGAATGCCATCACAACGTGAAGTTAATGGAACACAGGAGCCATCTCGACACTTAAGACTCGTGGATTCGGGACATTCTATTTTAATTAGCAATAAAAACAATTTAAAAATAAATATGAAAAAGGATAATGGATGGTGGAGGATTGCGTCAACAAAATACTCAATGTTAAATAATTACTTTGAAGTAATAATTGATTATTTACCTTGGAAGCTACGGAATGTAAATCCTTCTGGCGCTATTTTTATACTGCCTAATGAATGATAAAGAAGTTGTTGTTCCAAAATTTGTCGTATTTCATGTTCGTTAGTGTACGTTGATCCAACATCAATAGTAGCTTCAGAATTAAATGGATCCTCAGCTCGACTAAAAAAAAAATTCCATTCACTTTTTGTTTAGCGTTCATTTTGTATAAGTTTGATGCAAAAATATAATTATCAACATCCACAGAAACTTTATTTGATAAAACTCATTATACTTTTCTGAATTTTCTAAATATTCTTTGTGCTCAATGATAAATAAATATTAGTAAATATACCGTTGCACAAAATTCTAGAATTATTATAAAAAACGTAATTTCTCTTTTATAAAGACACAAAACAAAACTTACGATATCTTGACGACGTTGGCGATGTGATTAAAGTTGGGAATCCGGTGAGACAACAATTCTTCCAATGCTTGTGTCAGGTTTCTGCTTAAGTCGAGGTAATCCTGACTTTTAGGGTCAGCATATTCATCTATGTAAGGCTCCAAGACAGTCAAAGTTATGCGATAAAAGCCTAGAAACATTGTACAAATAATTTTTAATTTATGTACTTGCAGAAGATATTTAGATAAATCAATTTTGAATTTAAAATTAACTAGATATTTTGTCTATCAAATTAAGTTACATTGATCAATAAAAATTTATGATAATTATTTGATCAGATATTGCAACAAGAATCAACCTTGAAAACAGGTTTCAAGGTCTAAACACTTTATCAATATCAGAATAAAAAATATTGTAATATTAAAATTAATTACATAGATCACACTTACGGGCTTGATGATTTACAGTTCTCTCAGTTGTGTGACTTTCTGGTTCTTCTGTTGCGCTTCCTTCAATCTCTCCAGAACCACCTACAAGATCTTCATCATCTGTATCACCAATTAATCCTCGATCTGACAATCGATTTGGCAGACGGCCCGCAGCAACTTCACCAATACTATTATCCTATGAATCATAACACGACTTTGTGATTAAAGTAATAGATACCCTCGACAAAATAAACCTACTCGAAGCAATCGTCTCATTGTTTATATAGCAACATGTACGTACCTCGTCATTTTTCTCCTGTTTACCAATCACATCATTGCTGTCGTTCTCCTCTACTACTTCTTCACTATTTCTTGCAGATCGTTCATGAGATACTTCAGTTATTTTATCGACTATTTCAAATAATGGAGATTCTGTTGTTGCGCCGTCTAGAAAAAGATTTATAATTAGTGAACTAATTTAAAGTTTGTAATAATTGGTTATTTTAATTTTTATCTTATTAAATGTGATTATTGAATCCCTAATTGAAAAAAAAATAACGGTCAATTATCAAAAAATCTTGTTTTTCACCTATAATATTTAACTTGGTAGACAGAAATAGTTAAACACAAATTCGATTTAGCGAACTTACTATCAAACTTGAAGTATAGAGTATTGATTGTTTTTAGAATTAAATGAATTAATTTTGAACGATTAGATATATTCTATTATTTGAAATAAAGGTTTAATTTGTGATAAATTCAACTAATATTTACCCGTAGTAGATGTGACGGAGGCAGAACCAGATCCTCCAAACAGCCACCAGTCACTAAATCCACGTTTTATTCTTCTTAAAATATCCAAGCCTTCTTCGTGATTTTCATCGTTCAAAGATAGCTGGATAACCGGTGACCTCCCATCTTGGTCAAACACTAAATCATCGATCTGGAATAAAATATTCAGTCACTTTCTATTCAACAATTGTTACATCATCTTATTCTATATTACATCTAAATGATGGTATTCAAAGTAGTAATTTACAGTATTGCAGACTCGTCATATTTTAGAAGCATTTGTTGCATTGAGAGCGACATGTTTGGCATTTGGCGCTTATTATATCTTTAAGTATTCTCACGTGCTCCTCATAAAGAACCAATTCCTCCTAAACACACGATATAAATTCAGAATCGGAGAACCATTCTGTAGACTCGTGCGCTCGTGATTCGTAAACCGCAGACGAGTCTTTCTATTTTATTTTTTTCCTTCTTTCATTATTATTCGTCTCACAGTTTATCAAAAAGGAATAAAATGAATGATCTCTGTCTCGTTGCATTTCATTCATAGCAAGTTAGATATTGTTCGGATTTTTTGCCACTACTCATGTTCATTCCCCGAATTGTTTCAAATTTCGTTGATGATGCACACTGGTTATCTTCAAACATATTCATTACCGGAAATGAATCAAGTCAACTAGTTTCAGTTTAAAAAAAAAATTCATGGATACATAAAAATAACTTTAACTATGTTTAACTAATTTGAAATAATTAAATTTTTTACGTTTATGAGCTTGAATTTTGTACTTTTATTAATAATGAAACAATTATTAATAAGTATTAACTAATTTGCAAAACTCATTTAGTATACAATACGTATGGAATAAAAATGATTGATTCTAAAATAATTTAATTTTCACATTTAGAGAAGTAGAACAAGAAAATATACGATGTCAGAAATTAAAGGAAAAAACAAACTAGTCTCTTTGATTAAACATTTCAACGCATCACTATGTTATGTAAGCTGAGTAAAAAAATCTGTATGATGAGAAAACAGAAATTAACAGACTTTATAGCCTTTGAAAATACTTGAATCAACTGAGACAAATATTTAACATTTATAGATCATAATTTAGGAAATGCAACCACATAAACTACAAAAATAATGAATATAATATAATCTAAACTGTACATAGATTTATTATGGCTTTAATTTGTTTCGACTGAAACTAGTAAAGTAAATATACGCGACATTTGCAAGAATGTCTTCAAAGTATATATTCCTGGGCTCTTGAGTTTTATCCTCTTAATTTAAAAAGAAAAAAATGGTCTGTAAAAGTGGACGTTGGGTGACTGTGCGACAGAGTTACACGTCACCACCCTCAACTCATTCCGCGGAAGCGAAACTTTGTTATTCTAGGCAAGTTTTACCGGGGATTTGAACGCTAAGTCCACTCCATGATCCTTTTCGCGCGGCAACTACGTGCTCACACTTCGACAAAACATGACTTGTCGTAGAGTCCGAAATCCTTGAGACGCTTATGATGAGAAATACGTGTTTGCGTTGGTTAAACTTGTTCTACTAGCAAGTATATCTTTCCAAGTATGCATCATTCAAACTACATATGTTCTATTATTTCAAAGATTAAAGAGATGAAAGCCGAAAGTCAAATATAAAGATAATCTCTAAGTAGGTATTTGTCTTCAAAGAATTTACTGAGCCCTTTTGCCTTGTTCCGATTAACGTATTGGCACGCGCTAGTCCACTAATTATAATCCCCAGGTCTCAAGACTGGTCATCGCCTTGAATGCGCTACTACATTGGAATTCGAAAGCTGGATGGAATATAGGCCAATGATGTCAACTCTCCAACCCATGTGAGATAAAAACATTCTTGGACATTGTTATACCATGATGAGCATCATCATCAGCATCATTCACTGCTCTATACAATGTATTTCCTGGATTAAAAGATGTCTGTGGAACAGATCTTCATGTCTAAGAATAAGCTTTGATAATCAATACAATGCTTATTAGAAAAGGTATTTTTTCCATGTAACAGTTTTTAAAGATTTGTATGCGCTCTGAGATAAAACTGGGTAAATAGTAATTGTTTTATAGAAATACTAATTAAAGATTTTGTTATGTAATAATTAGATATGTCACAGCTATTTATATCTACAGATTTCTTTCACTGTAGCAATTTTAACTCATGACTTGATGATTTAATCATTGATTAGTATAATCAGACACCAAATAATTTTTCTAATTTTACTTATAAGCACGTTAAATTAATAAAAAAAATATACAGGAAAAACCTTTATTATATTTTTTTTACATTAATCATTAATGCATGGAAATGATGATTGCTGATAATAATAAAACAAATACCGTTTTTTTAGTTGTTCTTGCATATTTCAATATATATTATCCATAATTAAATTAAGAAGGTTACTGATGTTATTACTTGTATTAACGTACAGATTGATTTTCTACTTCATTGCATGAACTCATAGATTCTTCCTGAGTATTATTAAATAAATACTATTGTAACTCATAGTAATAATTTATTTGAATAATAAATATTATCATAAAAGCTTCTTTTCGATTTATATTTTTATATACATAAAATGTATAATGTATAATGTATATGTATAATGTAACAATGGATCGTAAAAATTAATTAAACTGAATAAAATAATGTAGCTATTTTGAGATATTGAATGAAATAAGTTTAATTATTCACAGCAGAATTTCATATCATTTTTAAAATAGTAAATTATTCTGGAGAGATATTCTCAAATTAATGAATTTTGAAATTATGATTATTATTAGTATGGTAAGATTTTCTATTAATAATATCACATATTGAAAATTAAATATCTTACTTCATACTATAGTATGAATATTATAAATTTTTTCGCAATACGATAAAATAAAATTAATGACATCATTTGTAATTCACGATGTTATGATAAAAATTTTCAACAGCCTAGAATCTTTAATCATTACATATTTCTATTAATGTTATTTTATAAATAACTAAACTGCAATGGTTTTGAATGTCTTGATCAACTGCAGTAATGATAATTACATGCATACCAGAATTGAAAGATAATAATAGTTTTTTTATTACGTGAGAATAATATATGATGCAAAGTAAGGATCTTCAATCATCTTACATGACTTTCGCAAGTCTGATAAGCAAACTCAAGTCACATATGCAGTCAGGCTACGATGAGTCATCATGGGAACCAGTCTCAGTTGCTGTCTCCAACTGTTGCCTTTTTCTACCTCTTCTTATTGGCCGAAAAAGAAATAAAAAAGTCTTTTAAAGTTAAAAATAAAAAATGCTGGAGATGAAAAAGAATTAAAGAAGAAGTGGTTCTTAATATGTGTCTTCTCATATACTTGGCTGGACGTGCAAAATCACCCTTGGCTTCTAGCTCTTTGATTGGAGAATCGATCGCCAAAGATCGAGAGAACTCGTTCATAATAATACGTAGTGAAGAAAAATCCTCAATTTAAGAGGCGTCAAGTTAACGAAAATATACGTTGGTCCATCGGACGTGTGAGCTTTTTCTTAGGGTCTATGGGCAACACTAGAGTGTAAAGGTTGGTATGAAAGAGAAGAAATGAAGAATAAGAGAGAAACGTTAAGATGAAGAAGAGAGAAAAGACGACAGTGGGACCATCTTTGTCCTTTCTTTTAACCCGTGGTATATTAATGCGAAGAACATGGTATATAGCAGGAGAGACGATACTTGGTCCGATGAGAGAGAACATGAGGGAGGAGGACACTCATGTAGAATACTAATGAGTCCCTGTCGCCAAATCTCCTGAAGGAGACCTCGTTTAACCGCACCTTTGCATTTTAACAGCTTCTGTGAGCAAAGAACTCAAACAAGTGTTAGGTAACTTTATGTAAAAACCAATTTATCGTGTCCTAGTTTCAACTTTTAATTTATTATGACTGACATTTGATCTATCGAACATCAACCAAGAATTTTTGACTAAGGACCTATGAATTCCTATTGAGAATAAGAACATGTAAGTCGTCCTCATCGTCTTTTAGAGGATTTATCAGAGTAATCCTTGGTGGTGGATGAGGGAGAAATTTTATTGCAGTCTAAATCGGTTTATGGGGAAAATAAGGCAAATAATAATGGGATATTTATTTGGTTGGGTATTTTGTTTGTCTTTAAATCGGATATTTATCTCTCCTAAAAGGAGAAAAAATGACTGAATCACTATACTTACAAGCAATTTGTTATTTTATTTATTAGTGATATTTTTCATCTCTATAAATAAATCAATGGTCGAAAATCAAAGATTAGAAATTTAACATATTAACATTTTTCTCTTGATTAAATTGGAGATAAAAAAATTACTGGGATACACATTTAAACAGATTATCATTAATTCAATTATTTGGACAATAAAAAAATACGAAACTACTATTTTCGTATAATTTAATGGATTTAATTAATTAAATCAAAAAAGATGATTAATTGTACTGACCGAATACACCAATTATTGGAAAGTATTTATCAATCGAAATAAATAAATAATTTCATGTAGACGAAATGCAATATTTAAAGTCGAACAATATCGAATAATTAGATTAATTAAAAAAATTTACTTGTCTGGATAAACTTAATATGATTAACTGAAACAAAAATATACTAAGACAATAAATGATAACATCTAATGATTATTAAAATGTGACAATGTTATAATATTAATGAGAAGCTTCATGTCGTCTGCCATCTCTATTCGACCTGAATTCTTGGCGCTTGTAAAATTTGAATTTAAAAAAATAAAAAATAACGAGGTTTGCAAATTCATGAATGCTTGGACTTCAAGAATATGCATTTAACACCAGATGCTGTGTAGACACGTGAATAACAGTCAAGTATATTGCGCGTGTAGGCATGCAGCCTATTTTCGACCACTTCAAACATTACATGTGAGTCGAAAGAAGCATTTCCCCGATTTACTTCGTCCTCATAACACGCGTCCAGTTATAGGTCTACTTGACTTCCTTTATGATTGCCTCGAGTGCTGCTACCAAAGTTGACAAGAAGTATATTACAAAAAAAAGAGAAAAGAAAAAGGTATAAGAAAGAATAGCAATCAAATTGAAAAGATCTTTTTATACACTCGAAAGGA